CATCTCTGAGGGAAAAAAAGGCAAGTTGCTCTATTCAAAGAGTTTATCTTAGGAAGAAAAACATCTAGGCACTTGCAAAACAGGGGAGGCACAGGACCAGAAAGGGACAGGGCTTTTGTAGTATATAAGCCAGAAGAACTAGAGCCAGAGTAGGGTCCTATCTGCAAGGCACGAACATGAACATAGGGGTAGTTGGAAATCACAACTTAAACCCTTAAGGCGAGTAAGGTTGGGAGAGTTGATCACCTTAGGCTCTTCAATCTCTGAAGGCAGCCTCCCTTTGCATTAAAGTTCCATAAATGTGTGACAGGTGAGAAAGCAAAGCAGGACCTTGACAGACAGAAGAGAAAGCAAGCCTGGGCATCACAACAGTCCTCAATTGCCTAACCTGTTGCACACAATTACCAGGGATCTACTTAATTCTCAGCTTCACAGATTTCATGGATACCATGAAATCCAAAACTGTTTGCAACTCTCCCCCTGCCCCCCCCCCAAAAGCTTAATAAAAATAAAATGCTTGCTCCCCAGTGGGAGCCAGCAGTTCTCACTGCCAGGAGGAGAAGCCACCAGCTGGAAGGGTAGCACAAAGGGTAGCAGACAAGATGGCAGCTGCCCCCTCATGCCCTCCCCCCCAGGGCCTCTCCAAATCAGGAACTTGGGGTAGGGCTGCTGCAAAAAAGTGACCACAGAATTAGAACTATGCTGTGATCAACCTGCAAAAATTGACAAGTACCCCCACTATTTAGGTAGATCCCTAACAATTACTTAAGGAAATGAACTAAGGATTTCTATATACATGTAAATACATGAATATAGAAATACATATACATCAGTAAAATAGCTGTTCTGAAATAACCTATATGCTGTTAACTGAACCTTGCCTTTTTTAAGTGTATCAACATCATCTTGAACACGCAATATCAAAGCAATTGCTTCCAGTTTCCAAAAAGGTGCCGTCTCAGTCAACCAAAAATCAAAATATGTCATTTTAGTTGCAATATTTTTAAGAATACTAAAATGGTTTAATCACGAGCATGCTGAGTTATCACCCCAGTGTTAAACTTGAATTAGAAGTGATACATCTAGTTATACAGGGCTTACAATACTCCCACATTACTTACTAATAATATAAATGAATGGTATTTGGACAATCTGATTGCTATTAGCCTGTCACTAAAGTATGTAATGAAATACAGTTTTCATATTATGAAGTCCACTTACCACAATTGCTTCCTATAACAAAACTTGATAGCAGTAAAATTTCACCAATTAAGAAAAAAATACATATGACTATTGGCTTAAAAAAAAGAGTGAAGAATCCAGCTTCTCTCTATATAAATTCTCTTTAAAAAACAAAATATGAACCATTTATTGTACTAACCTAATTCCAATATGAGGTTTTCCCCCCCATTCAACATGGGGAAAATGAAGGGTCATTTTAGAATCAAGCATTGAGCAAAAAATGCAGTACTGGAAGTCAGTGCTGGGCCCTGCATTGCTCCCTGGCCCCGCACGGATTCCCTCCCCACTCCCTGGCTCCATACAGATCCATAGAGCAGAACAGGACCCAGCATGCAGTGGTGAGAAAGACAAATGGAAGGGAGGACAGGTGGCAGGTAGGCAAGGGGCTGAAGTCAGGCTATCCAACTCCCTGCCTCTTGCCTCCCCACAGCTTGCCCCACTGTCATTGTTCCCTTTGCTACAGCAGCGAGGGAAAGACTAATTTAAAATGACTCTGCACTAACTAGATTCGATACATGGAAAATTGTAACAAATTTAGAACTCTCCATGTAAAAGAATCTTTATTTTGTGGGGGCGGGGTCTTCCTAAAATCCAAAGTCATTTTGAATTCAGGTAAATATGATGGATAGTGACCATATGTCCTACTGTTGGATCTATATCTTCCCCCAATTCCTCCTCCTATTTATTTTACTTCATCTGAAATTAGATTGTAAGAAAGGAACTATGACTTTATATCTTTATAGAAAGCTTAGCATAACTGGGGGAAGCAGTCAAAGAAATTAAGGTATTTTATACTCATGCATCTGGAAATAGTGCAAGTCCTGCTCTGGACTCGTATCAAAGGCCATCCCCAAATTGACACAGCTCTCAAAGGGTACCAGTCCATTCACACTGGGAAAAACAAAACATAACTGGATGTGATGCTAGCTGCATCACTCCCATCTGTGGCATGGTCTAAGAAACTCATGTTTCTTAACCGAAATAGTCCAATAAGCTGTTAGAGTTAGGTAGTCCTTCCTTCTTAGTACAATGGAGATTTGATTAGGATCTCTGAGCACAAAGGTAACAACAAAACTTTTATTCCATTAAATATCATAAAATAAGATTGCTAATAGATTTAGTTGACTAGAATGATTAAGATGATCGGTATGCTAACAAGCTCTCTCTTACGTAGAGATAAGAAATGTCTCCATGACTGATTTCAATGATCCTCTCCACAGTAGGAGCAATAAGACACTTTTGAAAAAGAGGTGATGCAAAGAAATTATGAATTTCCACGTCTTCCCCCTATCTCCACCCCCTCTTCACCTTCCTCTGTCTGGCTCCTGAACCCTTTTCCTTAAACTTTATTTGGAATCAGGCTAATATCCACACTATAACACAAGTGCCACCACATCCATAGATAGCAAGAAGCACTTTGCTGCCTCAGCCTACAGACATCAGTTATTGGGAAGAGAGAGTCTGGTTCACATCACACCCTGAACTGTTCTTAAAATCCATTAATATCCAGAATCAAGATTGGAGTTCTCAACTACGACTTTTTTCTAAAATAAATGGGAAACCAAGAAAGATTTTAAAAAGTGGGTGTTCTTCATTTCCACATTTTTGAAATGGTTAAAATTCAAAAGCTATGAGCTACCATTTCCAGTGTTAAAATATTGAATTAGATGTAGCTTTGGAAAAACTGAAATAAAAAATTCGAGACTTAGAGAGAATGAGTAACAGAATTATCACCAGAGACTAAAAGATATGCATTAATAAGTTACTAAAACAAACAGCAGCAATGAATATGGACTTACAGCAAAACTTAGTCTATGACAAGATATTAAAACATAATTTATCTAGGAAAATAAGAGTTAAGAGGAACCCGACTACACAAAATAAAGGCATTAAGTGGCTGGAGACAGACAGGGACCTGCCAAATAGGAAAATAATTAAATTATACTAATGGAGAGTTTTCACCAAAGCATCAGGTATTAGCCACTTCTAGAAGCAAATTATAAGGCAAAATCATTCAATGGCAAATCATAGCGAGCAATTCCACCTAGAATTCTACCACAAAAAATAGTTCTTCTATGATAGTGGTTTTCTACCTTTTCTCATTTGTAGACCCATAACAAATTTCAAGTGGAGGTGTAGACTCCTTTGGAAATTTAAAATGGAGGTGCAGACCCCTCTGAATTGTAAGTGCGGGTATTCACATATTTTTGATTAACCATAGTCATCTTTTGCCAGCCCTTAGTCTGAAGACCACAGGTTGAAAGCCACTGTCCTATCACAAATTTTCATTTGTCATGCAGTTGTGACAATACACAAAACCTGAAAAGCAAAGAATGGCAAGAATGCTGCTATATCAGTCCAAACTAAGAGCAGATCCTTGGTAGTTGGAATAACCGTGGGCGTGCCTACACATCACTCTACAACGATGTAGCAACACGCTAGGTCACCATGCAGGGTACTATAGCAATGTAGCAATCACATGCATCTACACCCAACTGCCACTACATCGACAAGCTCCCCAAGTATAGCAGGCCACTCCCTGGGTATAGCACACCACTACAGCGACATAGCAGCAAAATCTAGCTGTGCGCACAGTGCCCATACTGCACCAGGCTTTAGTACTTCCAGAACAAAGTACTCAAGCACAGCGCTGTAGCAACGTCACTGTACAGAGACGTGTAGGCACACCCTGCAAGTAGCAATTTAGAAGATAAATATGGTGTTTACGTGAAGGAAGATAAATATAGTAATACTGTTACTGAATAGACTAGGTATCTGTATCTGGGGTGGCTAACCTGTGGCACGTGCCACAAGTGACATGAGCTACCTCTGTGTGTGGCACATGGCAGACTGGGAAGTAGGCATGCAGCACAGTGGCAGATAGAGTAGGAAGTAGAGACTAGTGCGTAAGATTGGGTTGGCGAAGGAAATTAGAGAGTGGTACTTGGGGAGGATACAGGACTTAATTTGTGGCATGCCTGCCAAAAAGTTTGACCCCTCCCCTTTTCCACTGATCTACATAAGCTATATTTTGTCATAAACAAGGCGGTTATATTAATAAAGAGTATTAAACAGTTCCAATATTTGGCTACCTAAGAGTTGTTCAGATAATCTCTTATTTAAGACTTCACGTGCAACATTAAGCAGGCTAGGCCTACTCAAAGAAAAAAAAAAACATAACAAGGAAGCTATCATTCCTTTGTTAATTCCATTTTTAATTTTTCCTCCCTTCCCTGAAAAAAAAAGAATTTTATAAAACAGCATAAAAGCACCTTTTCTGAATCAATTAGAGAAGCCTTACAGTACGTATATAACCGTCAGATTTTTTTTTCCATCAAGAGATGATGTCCCAAGCCCTGCATGCATGGTACTGGATTCAAATTCAAAGGCATTTAATTAAGAATCTTTCCACTAATGTTAACAGACTCTGTACCTGGCTTTAGTTTTGAAGGTCCACATATTCTATTTTCACGACATCTGTCAGTCAAAATTCTACAAATAGCTCACAAAAATGAAAACCTAAAAATATTAAAGCTATTATAATGCCAGACAAAGTGTTTACAAAATGAGAAGTTTCACTAAGCAGTGCACTACTATGTGGCATATTTCATGTTTGGAATTTGGATACCATGAAAAATGGAAGTCAAGAAGTGCCCAAGGATGCCCCATTTCTATAGTTTAGCAAGTACATTTCTTCCAGTGTAAATTCATGAAAGAGAGAGACATTTAAAATGCCAGAAACAGAGTAAGATACTCACTAGTGTAGGTCTATTAAAGCAGTGACTGCAGATACTTCTGCTTTTCAACAGTCTATTATTTATATGACAGAATGAAGATCTGAAAACATGAAATATAGCCTTAAATTATTCACTTATTCTTTTCACAAAAGGAGAAACCGTCAATCTAACACTAAAAGACTTCAAGCATATTTGTAAAGGTTTCAGGAAAATTGCCTTATTTATCAAAACTTTATCCCCCCCGTTTGTTCATTAAATACTGTAGCTTTGCATTAAGGTCAAACAGTGTCAACCAATTACTGTTGCTGGAAAAGTCCTACTTCCTTAATACCCAAAGTAACCACAATAATACAGTGAATTGTTTTAATAGGCAAATTGAATGCTGTTTACCCAAAGTACATTTCAACCATAAAAATGTATTTTAAGGGCTTCTATCAACAATCAATTATAGTACGATTTATTATCAAGGCAGCACTAAACATGATTCTTCCTTGTCTACTTAAATGCCAGGCTTAAAACAAAACAAAACAAAAAACAACACAAAAAAGCCAACCATACCTACTTTAGCATATTCAGCAATATTCTCTTTCAGCTTATAGAAGTAAAGTAAAAAATATTACATGACCTAGAAAACAAAACTGAAATGTAAAAGCCTCCTTAAAATGTAAAAACATGGCATTTTTAAAGAAACAGGATGAGTCTGATATAAACATTTTGACTTCAATTGGGGGAAAAGACACACAGCAGAACTGGAAAAAAAATACCTACATTTTTACCCTTCCCCAATTTTTATCTTATTTTCAGGATGCAAGCTTCTATCTTGCAAGGCATCAAACAGAACAGGAGCTTGCATAAACAAACTTCCAGGATGAACTTTAAGTGTCAGGCCACAATTTCATTAATTTAAACACTGGATAGAGTTGTGATGTATCCAACCACTCTCTTACAAGAGATTTAAGTGGTATTTATGTTATGCAGGGTAGGTAAAGAAGTGTACACACTATTATACAGGTAGTACACTCTTCTTGTTTTATAGCAAGTCTCATGCACACAAAACTCAAGATAGAAAAAACAGTTCTATACTTCAGGCCTACCCAAATTGTGATTATGTGGACTTTGTGAAAATCACAAAATTGGGTGATCTCTACAAAATCTGGAGGGTGGGGGAGGTGGGGGGGAAAATAATAAAAATAAAATGCTGGCTCCCCAGTGGCTCAGCAGCAAGGGGTGCGGATGCATAAGACAGCCCTCTCAGCCAACCAGTGGCAAGGGGTGGGGTCATGTAATGGACAGCACTCCACCAATCAGCAGTGGAAGGGGGAGCACATGGCCCCTGAGCTACAGGCATGAAAGGGAGCCTGCCACGATGACCCCTTGAAAATGGAGGCCAGCCATGATCTGCCCTTGAAATTGGCTGCCACCACCTCGAGTAAAGTAGCCCCCTATCTATACTTGATTCAACAACAGGAAAAGCTTACTTTCCCCTCTCCCTGAGCCATGCCGTATGTAGCCCTTGGGAATTTTCTGCCTACTAGCTTACTATCAACTGTGTTTTCAGAATAAAACTAGTATACTAACCCACAGTCCTTTGTGCAATGTGATGGGAAATGTAGATCAGAAAAGTATCTTGCATGTTGATGAAACCTTCCATGTGAAGTTAAAGAAAAGAAGCTCTGGGTTTTTTTTGGTTCTGTCAGCCCCACTGGATAGCACTAACCGGAGGTGGGAGATATGGAGGTGGGTTACAAGATAAGGAACAGGCTAGAAGCAAGAAATGCTGTTATAATTATAGCTGGGAACACAGAAATTGTTAAAGAAAGTCTACTGTATAATTACATTTGAGAATTTAACAAGATGCCCAGAGGCTGGCTTGCAGCTGTCAGGAACTAGTAACACTAGAGGTCTGCTTGCAAGGCAATCCCTACTGTAGCTTATCACACCTTCCTGTATTTAAACTGACTTTGATCAGGAAAAGGAAGGCCTCTACTCAAATCAATAAGATTATGTCATACAAGAGATTATACTCTATTCTCAACAAGGTGTGTTTATAGATTGGAGAATTGTTTTAAAGGAGATCAAATGCAAACTTAGTGCCCCTTGTGCTAAGTTCTAACTACCTTAATTATTTGCCCACTGAACAGAGTGTTTGGAGGATTCTTTTTTCTGCGCCATGAAACAGTTTTTAACTATTTAGATGCTTGTTCATTAATAAAACTGGTACGCAGTTATACTTTTTTTTAATGCCAAGTCATAGTGCTCACCGCTGGGTTTTCTGACCAAGTCCAAAAGGGAAATGCACAGCAGAAGTGAATAATTTAAAATGAAATCAAACTGAAATGCACGTTCTATTTATCTATCATGTACATTTTAACTTTTATACACATACATATATATTCAGTCTGTGCGAATAGGGAAGCATTTGATTCAGATTCGGCCGATTCAGAGGACAGTGATTCGATTCAGAGTTCAGATCACTGTCCTAAATCAATTCAGCCGAAAATCGGCTTTGGAAGATTCAGTGCTGATTTGGTGATTCGGATCAGTGGGGGAGAGGCAAACCATGGGAGAAGCCGCTGTGGCTGCCCTGCCCAGACCCATCCCCTGCCTGGTCCCAGCTTCCAGCACTTAAAAAAAAACCCACACTCACCAGCTGTAGCAGCGGCTGTGGGGGCTCTGGGGCCTCCAGGCAGAGCCCCACCACTGCACAACCCCACACTCTCCAATCAACCCCCACCAGGCCCCACCCCTGATGGGCCCCCCTGCCTGACCCCAGCCATCTGGGAATCAAAAAAAACTGCACTCACTGGCAGCAGCAGCAACTGCAGGGGCTCTGGCACCATGTGGCAAAGCCTGCCCCCCCACACAGCCCCTGCTCCCCAATCTTCCCCCACACCCAGCCCCACCCCAGATAGATGCTGTGCGTGGCCCCAGCATCCCAGCAGTTGAAAACAAAAAACAAAAAAAAGCCCCACGCTCACTGGCTCTGGCAGCGGCAATTAGGGGCCTCTGGGCACTCATGGCAGAGCCACCCCCATGCAGTGTGGGGCAGCGATGATCACGGTAGCTGCCCCATGGCATGGGTGAAGCACAGCTCAGCCAGGTGCTTTGTGCTGTCTGAGACTTGGGGCTGCTGGGGCCGAGTGCTGCCGGTCTCTGGCTGACATGTGGCGCTACCCCAGCTCCCACACAGAGCATGGCACCCTGCCAAGCCACACTGCACCTGCACAATGCAATAGCTGCTGCATGGGTGCCAAGAAGGGGGGAGGGGTAATCCCCACTGCCCCATGCTGTGCAGGGAGGGGGGGGGCTCTGCCACAAGCCCCCAGAGCCAATGAGTGCAGGGCATTTTTTTTTTTTTTTTGTGCCCGAGGCTGAGGCTGGACAGGGCAGCCATGGGGGCTTCTCCTGCAGCTGTGCCTCTGCCGCAGTGGGGATTGCCACAGGGGCTATCCCTTGCTGCCATTTGCCCAGCCAGCATGGGGGGGGGGCATCATGCAGGCGTGGCTGCGCCTGTATCAGCACTGGGAGCAGGGGCTTGCCAGCTGGCATGGAGGGCCATGGGATGTGGGGACGGCAGTGCTGGGAGCGGGGGCTAAGCCCTGCTGCCATTTGCCACCTTCTGCCTGAAGTGAGCCGTGACCACATCCCGCCCTCCCCTGCCCCAGCTGGGCAAGTGGCAGCAGGGCAGGGCCCCCACTCCCAGCACTCCCGTGTCCACATTCCGCATCCCCTCACCCCTGTCCCCACATAACAACTCTCACCTTGGTTGGGCAGCTTGTCCCAGCCCCAATCCCTCTCCCACACCCCTTCCTTCCCCCCTCTCCCAACCCTAACAGACATACCAGCTAAAGACAGCTGTCAGCTGCTTGTTTAGTCTATGGCTGAATCTCTGAATTGGTCGAAATTTTCTGAAGCAATTCAGATGCTTCAAATCGATTTGGAGCTTTTACTTGGTCTCCTCATTCAATTCAGAGATTTGGTTCCCAAATTGGGCTGAATCTCCTCCAAACTGAACCAGCTACCGAAACTTTCAACAGCCCTAATATATATACATACATATACATATACACATATACACACATACACGTGTATCTGTCCTTGGATTGAAAACTGAAGTCACGCCACCGCTGAAAAATTAATACGCCAAAATGTCACTTACAACGTACTGATATGAAATTCTTTACTAACTTATTAAAACTTCTAACGTGTTTTAAAGGGGATCTGCAATATTAGGCCGATTGCTTCAGGCAGTTTCATTCATCATATTGAGTAAAAATGCATCAAAGACAAGATTTCTTCTACAACTCACTGTCATAACTTATACTCAATACACCATGCTAGAAGCCCAGAAACAGCATTTTCTATGCACCCTGTTATCCTAAATCCAAAATACTGGCCTCAAACAGCATACAAAGTCTGGATACAAAATGTTTTTACTATACTATAATGTAACAGATCTGCATACAATTGATGAACATTAGGAAGAGGTCAGACAAAACAAGCAATTCTTGTGATATGAGCACTCAATATTATTGTTATGAAAAATCTGTTAATACTTAAATCCTTATATTATAAAGTGTCAATACAAGTTCCTTAGTCTACCAGATTAATTCTTCCTTTGATCTTCTGGATATACTTAGCATTTAAGAGAGTTTAAAGATCTCTTTTAAAGATCTAATCCTGCACTGAAGCTTAGAACTGTTACAAGTGGTCTTGAAGTAATCCTGCAGCCATGATGGTCCAAGAGATATGCACAAGGCAATGATATTTTGTGGTGATTTTTTTTTATTATTAGATCAACGGTATAGTTCAGAAACATCTTAGACAAGCTTTCATGCACAAGGTACCTACCCTCAGGGGGAAGTAGGGGACAAGGCAACACTGCCTTTACTCAGCAAGGACACTGCAGCAGAGAAATAGACTGTATCTTTTAAAGAGCCACCCAAATACTAAAATACAAAAATAAAACCCCCACTGATTACACACCTTAGGCTGTTACCTACTATCCCACACTTGAACCAATAAGCAAGATCAAACAACTACCGTTTATACTTGAAAAGGATCAGACCACGCTAAAAATATTCCCTATCCCCACCTCCT